GTTAATCGGTAACCGATAACCGAACTGCCACCCCCTAAGAAAAAACAAAAAAAAGTAAGGACGAGCAAAATTTACCAACTCCAGGCCGGTCACCGGCGAGATTGGCTCCTAGGATAGCAGCACCATAAGCCACAGCTTCATCGGGGTTGATCCCATTGCACGGCTCCTTCCCGTCAAACGCCTTCCTCAACATCTCTCCAACTTTAGGAATCCGTGTGCTCCCTCCGACCAGCACAATCTCGTCGATCCTGCCCTTACTCACCTTTGCGTCCTTCAGCGTCGACTTCACTATCTCCAATGTCCTCTCGAACAGATCCAAATTCAAAGCCTCGAATCTCGCCCTGGTCAACGGCTCACAAAAGTAGTCCACTCCTTGAATCAGAGAGTCAATCTCAACCCTAGTCTGCGTCTGAGTGCTCAGAACCCTTTTCGCCCTCTCGCATTCCCTCCGCAGCTTCCCCAAGGCTTTGGGATCTTGGCTCACATCCTTCCCGTACTTCTTCTTTATCAGATCGATGAAATACTTCATCACCCTCTGGTCGAAATCTCCCCCGCCGAGATGCGTATCGCCGCCCGTGGCCAGCACCTCGAATATGCCGTCGTTGATTTCCAAAACGCTGACGTCGAACGTCCCGCCGCCTAAATCGTAAACCAGAATGGTCCCCTTTTTGTCGGGACCTTGGTTCACGCCGTAGGCTAGGGCGCCGGCAGTCGGCTCGTTGATTATCCGCAAGACATTGAGCCCGGCGATAATGCCGGCGTCCTTGGTGGCCCGCCTCTGGGAGTCGTTGAAGTAGGCCGGGACGGTGACGACGGCGTTGATTACTTGCTTCCCAAGATACTGCTCCGCGGCCTCCTTCATCTTCCACAGCACCATGGCGCTGATTTCTTCCGGGGTGAAGATTTTCGGCTTGCCCTTGACTTCCACTTCGATGCAGGGCTTTCCGTGTATTTCCACGACTGGGTAGGGCAAGTAGCTCAGATCTTTCTGAACCTCTGGGTCGTCGTACTTTTTCCCGATGAGTCGCTTGGCGTCGAAGATTGTTCCGCGAGGGTTGAGGGTGGCCTGGTTCTTGGCGGCTTCGCCGATGAAGCGCTCGGAGCCGGCGGAGGCCGGGGAGAAGGCGACGTAGGAAGGGGTGGTTCGGTTGCCTTGGTCGTTGGCGATGATCTCGACGCCGCGACCCTTTCGAGCGACGGCGACGCAGGAGTAGGTCGTGCCTAGGTCAATCCCGATTACCTCTCCACTGATCCCTGTGTCCCCCATTACTACGATGGTGGAAGAATTTTTTTTTTTTTTTTTTTGTGTGTGTGCGCGCGCGCAAAGGTGGTGAATGAGAAAGTTCTGAGTTTCGGAGGCTTCTACTGCCATATATATAGGAAAACAAACAAAAACCCTGATGAATATAGAAAAGGAAAAGACCTAATTAGAAAAATATAAGGGTTATAGGTATAATTTGCCCCTTTACTTTGCATTTTTCTCAAACATGCCCCTCTATTATAAATCACATCAAACCTACCCTCCTACTAATAAACACTTATCAAATGCACCCTTCCATCTCCTTTTCCGTCACACAGCCGTTAAATCCTGTCCTACCGGATTTTGGTCAACAAAATGTCCTGAAAATGATTGCGTAAAAGACAATTTTACCCCACTATAGCTCTAACACCGTCCCAACAATCCCCATTCACACACCCAATTCCCACCAACAAACCCAATCCCGATCCAGTTTCTCCTCTCTTTTGCTAAATCGGCCACCTATTACTGGTAAGATATATTCCTTAAGATGACAATCCCCCGAAGCCTCGCCTCCAAACCTCTTTGCCATGTTGTTTCTAGCATCACTAGCTCGATTTCCGGCCGTCGCTCATAGTTCCGCAGCGCTACTCCCATTAAGCTTCTCTCTTTCCATTCAACCGGTGCTAATCACCAGTAGCCGCCGTCGCTTTTGAGAAGGAAAACAGAGGGTTTGTTTCATATTAAAAATAGGGGGATCTTTGCTTTTTGGTTCGCTCATTCTTTCTTCTTTTTGCAAATGGGAATCACATTGTTGATACCTAAAATTACTGCTGCTTGCAAGCAGAATTAAAAATTAGGGGTTTCAATTTGTTCACTTAAGGATTTTGTTATTGACAAAACTGAATTCTTTCTTCATTTGTCTTGTTATCAAGTGGGTATAAGATTTAATAGCAAAATTATAGCTTAGGAATTGAAGAATTAGAGATTGAAGGAAGTATAGAGTTGGGACGAGTTGGTGTTGCTGAACGGAGTGGAGGGCGGACAGAGGTCTCGTAATGGAAGAAAGTCAGGTGACTCCGGGCTAGAGAAAATTGCAGCGCAATAGTTCCAAGAGGGTATCAAAGAGTAGACCTAATTGGGGAGGGGCTACGACTACGAAGATCGACGGCAGCGATGCGGTGGCGGCGGTGGCATTAGGGGGAAATAAACAATCGAAGTCGCTAAAGGTTTTGGTCGCCGGAAGGGAGGTTGTGGGGACGACAAGAGAGGGGTTGGGGATCTTGGGAATTTAACGGCAGTTTGACGGAAAAGGAGATGGAAGGGTATGTTTGATAAGTGTTTATTAGTGGGAGGGTAGGTTTGATGAGATTTATAATAGAGGGGCATGTTTGAGAAAAATACAAAGTAGAGGGGCAAATTGTACATATAACCCAAAATATAATAATAAAAGAAAATTCCGGTTATTGTAAAGGAAGAAGAAATTGTTGATTGCAATCTCATTATAGAAGACAAAATAACAGACGTCCCCGTCGGATTGTATTGTTCCCCTGAAAACAAAGGGGTATTTGTTTTTTTTTTTTGAAAATTTACGTAATCAAAACAAAAAGTACGAACATGGACAATTGAATTAAAACGTTAATAAAATTCGAATTAGGGGTTGTTTGGAAGTTGTGATTCTTCAAATTGATATATTGAGACAATTAGTGTATTATCATTTGATGGATTGAATCAATTGATGTATTAGGTAAATATCTTGTTTGGAGGTTTAGATTGTGTTTTTGTTCCAAAAGTAAAAAAATTAGTATTGAGTGATTGTGAAGAATCTCAACAAAAAGTAGAGATTGTAAATCCCTCAATATTGAGTAATTGTGGTGGGGCCTCCAAAAAGTAAATCCATGTATTCTAGTTCTATGTAAACCAAAAAAACGACTTAATCTCACAAATACATGAATTAGATCAATACACCATTTGAAATCACAACTTCCAAACGACCCCTTAGTATTGGTGGTCGAGGATGGTGAAAGGTGGTAAATAGTGATTCGTATATCTTTATTATTATAATTCATACATATAATCATTTTACATTATGATAAATTTATATCATTATGGTACATTTCAATGACACCATGATATAATCTTATACACTACTACTAAATTACCTCCTGGATATGTATTAACAATATGTGTCTCAATTTTTTATTTTAAAATATTTGAAAGTAGATATTATTTTAAAGAGCATGATAAACCTAATTTTTTCCTAGAAATTCCAATTTAAATAAAAAAAAATATAATACATTGAAAAAGAATTATACATTACCAATATATATGATTATCTTTTGTAATAAAAAAAAAAGAGTTCGTGGTCGAATGGTCTGATTTTCAGTCTGGACGACCAAGTACCAACTGAGGGGTTAAAACGAGAAGGCCGGGCCGGGGAGTCCAGAGGGTACTGCTGGTCTGCTCCGGGCCCAAGACTCGAATTGTGAGCTGGTCAGGCCCGTGAAAGCTCACCGTTAACTACCCATTAAAAAAGTACTGGCCCAGCACAGCACAGCCTTATCCGAAACTCGCCTTCAATAACAAAACTACACCTTCCGTTCCGTTCCCTGCCGTTTTTATTTCCGGTCCATCGCCTGAGCCTCCGCTGCCATGTTCGCCGCCTCCGCCTCTTCGCTGCAACATGTCCGCCAGCCCGTCACCGCGGTTCTACTTCCCGTTTCCTCATACCATCCCCTTCTTCTACGTAAATTTTCACATCTTCGTCTCTAAACTAAAAATACCATTGTCTTTTTTTGCAGGGGACCGGTGCTTCAGGGGAACAATACAATCCGACGGCGAAGATTAAACCATCTTTCCAAAAGGCGGCGGATTGTAGAAATTCAGGCCTTTCCCCCAAATTCTCCTGCTCTGTTCATCGTCCGAATCTTCCGAGGAATTCGGTAAAGGTACGGGCGGGTAGAAGGAGGAGAATGATCCACGATAAGACGGACACGTACGTGTTTCTGGAGCCAGGGGAGGATGAAACATTTGTTAGCGAAGAAGAGCTCAAGGAGAAATTAAAGAGCTATTTGGAGAACTGGCCGGCCAAGAGCTTGCCGCCGGATCTGGCGAGGTTCGAGGCCATAGACGATGCTGTTTCGTTCTTGGTGGGTTCGGCATGCGAGCTTCAGATCGATGGAGACGTTGGCTCGCTCCAGTGGTATCAAGTTCGTTTGGAGTGACTGAACAAAAGGAGATTGAATTGAAGTTGGAGGGTCATTTTTTTCTGCCTGTGTACGTATTTTGCAGGTAAATTAGACGCCTGAATACAATTACCGTCAACAGCAAAGTTTATCGATAACTACTTCATTCTAAAAATCTTATCGGACGTTTTACTAACTTTATCAATGATCATTTTTGTATCTTCGTCCAACACCATTTTTTTTAGAAAGCTCAATTGTTTATATCAACAAAAACACATCTTCTAAAACAATTGTAATTCTTAACTGATGTCTCGTATCTCACTCTTATATTAGATACAAATCTACATTCCGCTTTATTTATGACCTACCTAAAGAGTATTTCTACGTTATTTATAATATTCACCTCGACTTTACAACTTGTTTTGTCATATTTTTAGACCTTTTCTAAAACATAATTTAGAATCATCATTTGAGATTCGTGTCTCGGTGTCTTCTCTCAATCTTCCAGAGAGGACGAAAGACAAATTCTTCACCCTCATTGTTAAAAACATAATTACTCTTAATTATGACTTTCGCTCTTTTCTTTCTTCTTCATTATGACTTTCTTTCAACACTGACTTTGCGAAAAAAAAAAACATAATTACTCTTAATTAGCATATAGAAATACCAATGTACGTGATCATAAGAGTTGATACATTTGTAAGAGGAGGTACACAATGTTACTAGTTTGCAAGAACTAAGCAGACAAGCTTGCCAAACCTCAACTTGAAAAAAAAGGGATAAATGAACCCATTAACCAAAAGTGGGAGCACAACAGAGATGTTACAACAATTTACAACGCATATATATGCTAAATTACAAACCGCCATTAGTTTTGGAAGGGAATCCACTTGAAGCTCTGCACTTTAGTCTGCCGCCTGGAGCTGCAACGATTTGGCAGCAGAAACAATTAGGATGTGTAGTAGAATGATTGCAGTAACTGATTGCGGTTCTCGTTAATGGGTTAAATAATACCTTTTGGGGCAGATTTGTGCCGATGGGCGGCAAAGGCAATGGAGCTCCTTCCCCACCGCCCCTTCTTTTCCTTCCCATAAGCCCTCTCGTGATCGGAGAAACCATCGCATCAGTCGGACTCCTGTACCTGGAAAAACAAAACCCACAACCGACCACTCTTTCATCCCAGTAAAAGTCGCAGTAAAAATTAACTGCCACTTCACACACAGGGAAGCTGGATATTTTACTGATGAAAACGATAGATGAACACGCTTGATCTGAACAGAAGTCAATCTGCCTATGGAAAACGGATCTGTAGGGTGGGAAGAAGGTGATGACGTACCTTTCTGGGTACTTGAAAGCCTTGGGAACTTGGAGGGGAACAAGAACGGGGATGTTGTCGCCACCACCGCCGCTGCTTTTGCTCAATTCTCTGGCGCCACTGCTGATCACTTCATCAGACTCCAGAGATGAACTCTGCTGCTGCTGCTGCTGCTTCACGGTTGATTCCAGCTGAGAAATCACAGCACTTGTTTGATTTGATTGAATAAGCTTGTTCTCTACTACCACCTCTTCCATGGCTCAACTTCGGCAAGTCACTTGTCTGATGACTGATTGATGAATAAAGACAAAGGGGGGGGGGGGGGGGGGGGGGGGAGATAGATAACAAAAGGAAGAGTTTTGGGTTTGGCTGGTTTTCTTTAATAATGGAACGAAAGACGAGTTCTTTCGGCTGTTTCTGTGTGGCAATGGCAACAACGGAATATAGGCACAGTTTTCTTTTGCTTTTTTTTCCTGAGAAGGGTGAAGTAAAACGTGGGTCGTTGTTGAACCTTTGAGTGGGGCAAAGAATAAAGGAAGCGAAGATAGAATTGGTCATTATTGGTTTCACTCCAACCATTCTTTGCGGATGCGACGACCGTTGGGATGTAGTGGGTTATGGGTTTGTCATGGCTCCACTACCAATCTATAGCAAAGTAATCGGAAAAAACAGTGCACATTGGTTGAAAGCAATACAGGGTCTTCAAGCCCAAACCAAAAAGACACTTCTAACTAAAACACCCTTTACTTGTAAACCAAAGAATAGTTATTTCCTTTTCATAATTCATATAGAAGTAAACATCAATAGAAGGAAAAATTCTTTGCCTGAATTCAACTAGGTTACCTTACAACTCTACCTTCTCAATGTATCGAGAACCCACTATAACTGGAAGTCCTGGAATGAGAATATGCACAAGTTTATCAACTCTTAGTAGCAGAGGCAGCCGCTGGGGTAATTCTTCGGCTCTCGCAGCCAGGGCAGTTGTGCAAGCTCTCGTGAATATAAATGTCGCAATCAAGGCAGAAATACTGCTTGCACTTTGTACAAGCCGCACAAGGGCCAGCCTTGTTAGTACCTGCGATAGGACCACCACATCAGCATGCTTAAAATTTTTACCAAGGCAGTCCATTTACTGACATCTGAAATACGAGAAGTATCGAGGGAAACACAATGCACTTCATATAAGACTCCACTATTCTATTTACGTAACTATTTCATCAAACCAAGAAACAGTATAGACATTACAAACTCAAAAGTAACAGTAGTGAAAGCAGCAGAGTTTATAGCCCCCAAGTGGCAGCACCAGAAAAATAGCTCATACACTTGACATATAACCAACTTCAGTCTTGCATGATCAATACTGTTAGTTTATTGCTAAGTAACCCACTGCCAGAGTTTGCTGCCAAAAGCTTTCTACATATACTGATTTCCAACAGATAACTTTGCATATAGATCATTTGTATTAGCATAACTTACCAGGAGTGAGAAGGCTCTCTCGACAACTGAAGCAAGTTTTTGAAGCTACTCTGCTCAATTCAAATTGACGTGCAGATATCTCGGTGAATGGCTCGATTGGGAAAAGATGATGATAAGATCTAGCTAGATGGGGTGATGAGACAAGTGTCAATCCACAGAAACGACATTCTGTGGGCAGTTCACATACACGGGCTTTGCATCTTGGACATATATACCCTTCACCTACTTTAGCTTCTCTGTGGCAGGAGCAGATTGCTATAGAACCTTCTGCGGCTCTTTGTGGGAAACCCATCTTGATCAAGTTTGCAATGGCAAATTCGGCAAGGGCAGGAGGAGGTGGTGCATGCTCTAGTAAGAGCTCTTTGAAGTGACCCTGCAAGAAGAGAATGTGCACCAGTTCCATCAGTGAAATATACAAAGAGCAACCTCAAGAGAACAGAAAAAGAGAAGAAAACCATCCATTAATCAACGAACGGAGTGAGGCCAAACATAACTAAAACTAGCAGGTTCACTAGTAGGAGCAACGGTCAGTAACTTTCATAAACTGATCACTCATTTCAGAATTCAAAGAATGGACTCCAGACAATTGTTTCAGTGATCCCCTGTGCATCAGTTAACAGGGGGTCCTTCTTCCTTGTTCTTTTTTCTTTTTCTTTGCTGTAACTTTCTGTTTTTGCTTTACTTTGATAATTAATAATATATTTCACCATTATAAAAAAAAAAGACAATTGTTTCAGTGATAAGTTCTGATTATGTAATTCTTGCATACAGTGAAGGAAATCAAACAGTTCAAGTAAATTCTGCAGGGTCATTAGATAATCAAACTGACCTCATCCAAGGCAACCATGTATGACCCACCAGTTTCCTGGCAAAGATGTTTGCACACAAACATTTCAGCAGAGAGGCCAATAACCGAGCACCTTAGTTTAGCCTTCTTGCATTTCTGGATAGTCTCCATTATATCACCCGGATCACAGGTTGAGAGTGCAGAATACAAGATGAGAACTTCACGGTGACCATATGATGGGATTTTATGGAGAGTGTCATGGACAAGTTCGAGAGCATTCTGGAGTGACGAGTCCCCTGCACAACCTAACTTAACCATCAAGGCCTTAATATGGGCCTCTGGACTCCCACCAAGTTCAGTCAAAGATTGAGCTACCCCATCTTTTATAATCACCAGACCAATCTGACTAAGTGGGTTCTGGTCGAAAAACTCCCTAATGAAAGCCTCAACATGTTTTGCAATCACAGCCATCCGACTGGGTTTGAAATCCATCTCTCCAGCTGCCTGCCGAAAATTGACATCAACACTTCAAAATCAAGCTAACAACCAAATTGCTTAGAACCTTTCATTCATAACTTCTGATGTACAAGTTCCATTGAAGACTGAGAATAACTAGGGGCTAATAACCAATCAACACACATTCTAAAATTCAAGAAACCAGCAAGCATCTCGCAATAGGTTACACAGATTATCAACACTGACTTTAACTACATAACACTGATAAACAGTTTGTCATAAACTACTGCTAAAAGTAAGGGTTCTAGTGTTAGACTTGCCAGACTTGAACTTGGAGGGACAGGTCAAATGAGAGCCATGTATTGATCACCTCAAAAGTTATTACACCATCAGCTATAACCCTATATCAAATGAAAATCATTAATACCTTGGAAAGATCGACCACGACGCAGAGAAACCGAATGAGCCCCTTTTGGATCCTCGATGCAGCGGACGTGGCTGAAAGAGATTGAAGGCGTCTACGATACTGAGAATGGTAGATTGCCTTGTTATCAATAGGTTGAAGCAGTCCTGACTCGTCCTCTTCCAATGCCTCCCATGATCTCTCGTCTGTGTATGTCCTCTCCCACGCATCACGCCCTTCATCTTCAACATCTTCTTCATTCTCTTCTTCTGCTTCACCGTTCATCCGCTTCTTCTCACTGTTGTTCATGATTCTTTCTTTCTGGGCTAGGGATTCGAGATTTCCTTCTACCTCAAACCGAGGGAAACGCTATTCCAACCCTCAGACAAGTTTCATTCTAGAGGTTGATTGCGAAATCGACGAACAACCGTGAAAATGGCTTCCCACCATCACATTTTCCATTTAAGAGAAAACTAATCGGTGCAGAGACTCCAGACTCGATTATCAGTTCACTGGAGCTGGACCGGACTGAAAATTGATGCATCCGCAACAGCGGAGCTGGAAAGTGAAGGATTCCGCCGCCGCCAAATTGGCAGGCAATGAGAGAGAGAGGCCAACGAGCGGTAAGCTGGGCAGCAACTCCGGCAACAAGATTGGGAGCAGGCGGGGAAGGAACTGGTTTCGAGTTTTATTGGAGTACTGATCTTCTTCAGCCCTAATTTTAATTTTATTCACCAGATCTCGTTTAACCCCCTGAACAATTTTAGTTGAACTTTTTGGCCTTTAAATTTTATGGGTTTACCTATAAAAGTCCCTAGACAATAGAAATTTCCAACTGAACTCTGGGACCAAATTTGATGTTCCAAAATAGCCGATTCTGTCCACAATTTGCTAGACTTCACGGAATCAGTGTCACCTCATTCGGAATTCAAATTGAGTGACCAAAATATCCTCTCCTTATGTTCTGTTTTTTTTCCTCGTCAAAACCTAGCTAGCACTCAAATCCTACTTCATCATTATCCGCAATTAGAAGGAAATAGTGGTTGTTCTCACGAGTTGAATATATAACTATAAGACTAGACCTTCGATTACCCCGCATCATCACTATTGTTGCATTGAAATGCCTCCCTCATGATATCAAAGCTCAAAATCTTAGAATGACACTTACATGCAACATCATACTATAAGTATACCACAAAATATCATACCATCGAACTTTAAGTTTGATATTAAGATTGGGGTTAATACCCTAGTTTGGCCCGAAGTATAGCGTAAGTGTCAGTTCTGGCCCCATTTTTCAAATAAGACATTTATGACCCACTTTTGAAACTATTGGACAAATTTGGCCCAAAATTTTCTTTGACCGTTAATATTGACGGTCAAACACTAGTCCGTTAGTGACTCAGCAAAAACAGCTAATGTGGCATGCCACGTAATTAAATATTTTTTTTTTAATTCAACTAATATAAAAATAAAACTAACAAATTAAAAGGATTTCCTCTTTCTCCCCTGACAACTTAACTCCTTAACCCTAAATAATCAAAACCTACCAGCCCATTCTTTCTCCCTTACCCAAATCGCCACTCTAAATAAACCTCAGCGCCGTCGTCATTCTCCCCAGCACTGGCAAAAATCACCACCCTAAATTAAACCCACGACCCGCCGCCATCATTCCTCCTCCTCCGCCGTGTTCATCGTCCGGGACACCAGCCTCGACTCCGTCATTCTCACGTACGCAGGACTCCTCCAACTTCAGCCTCTTCTCCTCTGCCTCCGCCAGCATCGACCGCTGCTCCTTCGCCTCCGACGCTCACGATAGCAACTCCCCCGCCTTCGACTTCTCACTGGTGATTAATAACTCAATCGATCCCCCTATCTCCTTCGTTTCCTAGAGCCTTAATCCGTTTTCTCCGATGCAGCATTTGGTAGTGAGCGGAGGAGGTGAGCTCGAAGGACAGGTAGGCAACTGGAGCGGTCCAGATCACCGGCGAGATCCAGATCCAAGCAAGGCCGTTGCGAGATCTAGATCCAAGCAAGGCCGCTGCGACTGTGCTAAACAGCAACCAGAGCAAGCTCACCTGTAATCAGGTTGCTCGTTAGTTGTGGTTTTTGGGAAGGAACGGGAGAGGCGGCAGAGTGGTAGTCGTCGGAGAAGGAGGAGTCCCTCCCTCTTATGGACGATGATTTTGATTTAGTTTAGGGTTTGAATTTGGGGATTTGGGACCAGAGATTTGGGATAATAAGTGATTTTGTTAATTTGTTAATTTTTATTTTAATTGAATTATAAAATTAAAATAATATCATTTAATGACGTGGCATGTCACATCAGCTGTTTTTGCTGAGTTACTAACAGAATAGTGTTTGACCGTCAATATTAACGGTCAAAGAAAATTTTGGGCCAAATTTGTCCAATAGTTTCTAAAGTGGGCCATAAATGTCTTATTTGAAAAATGGGGCCAGAACTGTCACTTACGCTATACTTCGGGCCAAACTAGGGTATTAACCCTTAAGATTTAAAATCAATCTTACAAGGTCACTTACAAATCATCGTACCTTAGAAGCTCTTAATTATATAGGTATAGCTCAAATACCAAACAAGCCTCTTACATCAATAATGGTTGATGAATGCAAATTGCAAGTGTACATTTTATATTTAGCATAAACGTGATTTGAGAGAAGTAAAGAATAAAAAAGTGTTAAGACAAAGATGAATATAGCCGTTTGTCTTATAGGGAGAGGGAGGTAGAGGAAAACTAATTTTTTAAGTTGATGTTGCATGAATCTCTTACCTACTTTCCATTCGTCAATTCTCTTATACTAATAATTTTCATTAAGCAACTAATCTTTTCTTATATTTGTTAAAACATGTTTAATTTGTTCTTCTTAATTGTGTAGAATAAAGTTGATCATAGTGGAGAGTGAAGAAGTTTAAATTGACAAAGAGGAAGAAGATTTTAATTAATTATGTTGTTTTATAGATGTTTATCTTTAATGTTGAACAATTTGTATGGATACTTAGTGATTTGCTTGTATTCTTTAGATTGATGTTTTTTGTTTAGATAATTTGTATAAGAAGAATGAAGTTAGGGTTATCAGGAAGACTGTGGAATGGGTCATCGTTAAAGGAAAAATCGACAGGAGTCTTGGTTCTGATTGGTTGACTGCCAATTTGGCCCGCTGACTTTCTGTCTACTAGCTTCGCCTGGTGATTGTGTGGGCTTGTTCTGCGGCTGTGGGTTCTGTTCATAGCGTTCCTATTTGTCCACAGCTTTTCGGGTTGGCCTCGGCTGTTAGGCTGTTTCCTGGTTTTCTTTGGTTTTTTGTATTCCCTTGGACTGCTTGGCCCCTTCAAGTCACCCTTTTGTGACTTCTGGACGATTTTTTGTATTCAGTTTTACCTCTTTTTAATCCATTATCACCTTTATCAATAAATAAATAAAAAATAAGAAGAATGAAGTTAGACTTTTATTTTGACAGGAACTTGTTATTTTGCATTTTTACCGCAGAACCCATGGGTATCCATAAACCCGTGGATATCCAGCGGGTTGGGTTGAGTTTGAGTTTTTCAAACCCATGGATTTTACTCCGAATTTTTTTGGTAGATATACCCATGGGTTTGGATTTGGGTTTGACAAAACCCAACCCGGCCTATTGCCATCCCTTGGAAGAGGGAAGGCAACGTCGTTTTGGAAGAGTGAGGCAGTGAGATGGCGACCTCGCCCAGGTATCGCTTCCTCGTCCAAATATTACGGTTTGTCAAATTAAGAAAAATGGCTTCCAACGCTAGGGGTGGGCAGCAGGACGAGATTGGGTACTCAATTTAATTTGTAAAGCAAACTCCATCCCCTATCCCAAACCCTTATGGGATAACATGTACACATTATCCGTACGGGGTGGTTAACAGGTACCACGAGTAATCTATAGTAGGACTTATATGCTTCACTGTAAATACCATGCAATCGGAAAATGTTGGTGGACTAGAGAAGGCGCTACTCTCTGGAACGTTAACTCATACCTGGGAAGCGAACGATAGAAAAGTAGACATTGTTCCTCATAATTCCTCGCATGTCAATTCTAGAACGAGGAGAATAGAAACTTGCAAAGAATGTAAACCCACTTAGAGTACTCGTCACATCCCAGAAAAAGACTCAAGAAGTGAACGGTAAAACACTCTATTACATAAAACTATTATGTTCCCTATACTACTAACAAAAGGCAACCAATTCTGGTAATTAATAGTAACCCATTCGGTTGCCCCAAGGTGACAAGTGCTGATAGCGCAACTGGAGGATTGAGCGGGGAGTATGGGTACCCGTTATACTTAAACTGATATTAATGAGTAATTCGTTGGTATCCATTGTAGAATTTTTTCATCCTGTAAAAAAATTACAAATGTTTGGGTACATGTAACCATAAAAAAGGGACGAGTATGGTATACCAAAATACCTATTTCTCGTTGCTCACCCTACCTAGCGTTTACATCACCATGTATGGGCAAAGCGAGGCAGGGGCTGGTCTCGCTCCACACTTTATCCCGCTGAAGCGATCACCTAGGCACGAGTAGGGATGACAATCAAACCCATGGCCGCATGTTTCGACCGCCCCCGATCCAGTTACCGCGGGGAATTCCCGCTTTGAATGGGTATGGGTAAAACCTGCAAAAAGTTTGATGTGAATGAGACGGGTATGATTTTAGCCTCCCCCACCCCACCCCACCCCACCCCACCCCACCCCACCCCATACCGATACCCTTACCCGCTCCACCAAGAGAATTTCTTCACATAAAAAAATATGTGGATCAAATTGTAACTTACCAATGATAATGAGGGTAATTCGAGAAAATAAGTAGTATAAGTCCAATTGAGTGACCACATAATCAAAACCTAATTCATTTCCCTCAATTCTCTCTTCACTCTTTCACTTTCCTTTTTGTTAACATGATTATGTTAGTTAATTATTACTTAGTAGATGTATCAAAGTTAGAGCATAATAATTTGGACAAATATTGTAATCTATATTATATATTAATGGATGTTTTTCGATCATATTCTTTGAACCGTATTAAGAAAATGATTGTGTTTTGTTGACTTCATGATATAGTAAGTTCGTTTAGTGTTATAATTAAAAAAGATCTTGTAAAGTTTTAGGTATACCCACAATAGGGGGGTGTGTTTGCAAAACATTTCTCCGTGTGATTATGAGGCGGGTATGAGTTTGAGTATTTAAAAACGAGGATGAAGATGATTTCGGTAAACCTGCTTCAAACCCACCCATTGCCATTCCTATGAACGAGAAATTTAATATTTTTGTCGTTATCAAACTCTTAGCCTTGCCAACATCGATTATGAATGTATTGGGACAAGCTTTATGTAAATGTCATGATCGAGTTTATCCATTAGTGCATAGAATAGATACATGTAATCAATTGGAGGGGAGAGGGCCCCAACTGCCGGAAAAAGAACTCGAGTACTACTATGGGGCGGAGTACCCGCAAGCAAACTCCAAATAACAAATGAACGCAAAATACCATAAATCAAGACATGCACTAAAACGGAATATTCAGAATACATTATTGAAAGATAACGGCTAACAAGGAAAACATGATGAACAAGGAAAACGGGAACACAAAGGACATATTGAAAAGGCACCGATCTTAAGGAGATAGATCGACATTGTTCTAGCTTATTGACATTCAAGCACAATTATTCTTGAGGTGTTTTTTCAAAGAGGAATAGGATCAACAAACAATGAACTGAGGTGGGCTTTCAAGAGGTAGGAATTTGTGTAGCCATCTTCCTTTTCGTATATAACACTAA